GGCAGAAGAAACAGCCTTTGCAAAGGCCCTGAGGTGAGACAGGAAGCCAATGAGGATAGAGGTAAAAGAGATTAGAGATGAGGACAGAAGAGACAAGGATCCAGGTCATGAAGGCCCTGTAGACCAGGACAAGGACCTTGAATTTTACTCTGAGTGATGTCAGAAAACACCAGAAGATTTTGATTAAAAAAAGATCCCAAACTGACTTACTGTTATGTTTCTGTGTCTATCCCCCTAGTAGCCTGTGCATTTCTGGAGTCCTGAAGGGGGAGGATCTCTTTGACCTCCACCTGGCCCACAGGCCTGGCCCACAGCAGGTGATCAATGGTGCTTGTGGGTATTTATGGAATCAAGAGGTTGGGAAACTCAAGGCCATGGGTGTGTGTCTCCCACAGGTTGGCCAGCTGTGGCCTCATGGCCGAGGGCTGCAAGGACCTTGCCTTTGGGCTGAGCGCCACCCAGACCCTGACCGAGCTGGACCTGAGCTTCAACGCGCTCACAGATGCGGGAGCTGAGCATCTCTGCCAGGGGCTGAGACAGCTGAGCTGCAGGCTGCAGCGACTGCAGTAATTGCACCTGGGTTGATGCTGCCTTGTGGGGAGGGCATGGGAGGTGGGGAGACCGGCCTGCCTCTGTGGGGAAGACTGAGGGGAGGGGCACAGAGAAGGTGAGACCTTCTCTGGAGGGCGGGTAGGAGCCCACAGAATGTCAGCCAGGCTGTGCGGTCAGGAGGAAGCTTACCCACACCTCGGCTGAGGGAGGGGGCTTCCGGGCTCCAAACGCACCACGAGCATCCAACTCCCAGTGTACACACACTTTCCAAGCCACTTTTTGAGTTACATTTGCTATTGTCCCATTGACCAAAGCAAGGTCTATGATGGCCACACTTAAGATTCTGGGGGAGAGAAACAGACCGGAGCTCTTGATGGGAGGACAGAACTCAGGGCCATGGACACGAGGTGGGGGCGGGGGAGAATCTGTGGCCATGTTCATAGTCTACCGCAGACAGCGATGACAACAGTACCAACTTCACAGACTCGTGAGGATTAACGGGAAAAGTGCTTAGAACAGTGCTTGCTGTCACTCTCCTGTTCTCACCAGCTGTGGTCTGCCTAGTAACACATCCACCTGCTTGGCATGGTGCTCAGTCTGAGAGTTAAAATCATTGGTGTCCACTTACTTCAGTCTTCTGCCTCATCCAAGAGGCCAGAACCATGACCGTATAGAAACAAGTGGATTGTTCTCCTCTCCGAGGGCTCCCAGGACCCTCTCCCGGGGGTCGCCTGCCCTGATGCACAAAGTTATACACACAGCCCTCTGCTCACCCCCTCAGAGGGCTGCCATCAGGGTCTCCTTTTGTTTCTGCCTGAGAGATCCTTGTTCACAGCCCTGGTCCTACCTCGCACTTCCCTCCCTTTTTCCCAAGGCCAAACCTCTCCCCTTCCCAGGGCCATTGCCTGTTTCCCTTCAGTAACCCTGAACCAAGAGTTGGTCAGATGTGGGGACAGAGAGGGGAGCCAGCTGGGACCCCCTACTAATATCAGGGGTCAGTGATCCCTGGAAGGCTAAGAACTTGGGAGTTCCTGTAATATTTCATCCTTGCTACTACAGATGGCAAGATTGGGTCTCAGACAGATTAAATTACTTTCCCAAAGTCACGTAGGCCTCGCTCTTAGCCAGGACTCTGTGAGGTGTGTGACACGTTACCAGCTTGGACTGCAAATAGGGTCCTGAGCTTTCTGCTGAGGGCTGAGAAGACCTAGCTGTGGGAGCCAAAGGTTCTAGAAGCATGGCTGAGCCCACAAGACCAGAGGACCTTCAGACAGTCTGTCCACAGAGACAGCCTATATACCTGCAGCATACAGCAGACACACAGCCCTTTCCTTGCATAAAGGGTCGCACGCCACAGACACTGTCCTGTACCTTCGTTTATCCTGGAGACGGCCCACATCAGTATATGCAAAATTGCTTCGTGATTTTCATGGCAGCACGGAGTTTCACTACGGGGGTTTACCATCTGTTTTTAATCAGCTCCCTGTTATAGGCATCTGAGTTTTCTCCAATCTTTGTCTCCATAAACAGCTGCAGTAAACATCCTCCTCACAAGGAATTATCTGTAGCCTAAATTCTGAAAGATAGAATTGCTGGGTGAACGGATCTGTGCATTGCTAATTTTGCCCTCTAGAGAGGTTGCACTAATCAAGGGGTACATTGTTTGCCAAGATTAAATGGGCCACAAAGGGCCTCCTCCCCAACCACCCCAAAGTCAGTCCCTGCCCGGTGCATCTCTGTAGCCCTCACACTACATTGGGTGGGGGGGGACTGTATCTGCAAAGACAGCATAGACCAGCCTGCCTTTCCACCCCTGTTCATCCTCCTATGTGAGCCATCCCATCCTCTCCCTGTGTTCTTGGTCCATGAACAGTGAGGACCAGGGCTGCCCTAGACATCAGGGAGCTCAGGCCATCCCCCAGGCCCAGCAGCAGCAGGTCAACAGACCCCACGTCCACTCCCCTCGGCCTGAGGCTCAGCCATGGGAGAGGCAGAGGTATCCACCCAGATACACAAGGTGGGCTGGAGAGCTGCAGCACTGCTCGGCACAGCATGCAGGGTGCCAGGCACAGCCCTGTCCTGCACAGTGCACACCCCAGACCCCAACATGTAATGGGGAGCCCAGGCTAGTCCTCAGTTCCTACTGAAGCCATCATATTCCCCCTGAACTTCCATTTCTCTATTAGCTCACTCATTTTGCTGCTGGACTGCAGATGCCCTTAATAGTGAAGCCCACCAAAGCATCCTATGGCAGGTGACTCTGGGTGTTTGGCAGGGCTGATGTGATTAACGGTTACACCAGGTGTACAAGTGGAACACTGGGTAAATCATTCCTCAAGGCTGATATGGGGAAGGGACAGAATTCATGGGAATCACACAGGAGTGAGAAAGGGAGGTTGCCTGAATCCTGAGGGGCTCCTTGGCTGCAAGAGGAAAGTTTTTATCTTCCCTTAATGTCACCCCAGAGCCCCCAAAGGGCCATAGCTATAGGTAAGGGAGGCCAGACCCCAGTTACCCAGAAGAGTAAGCCATCAGGACAATGACCGAGGGCCCGCATGTCTCTCTCCTGCAGCCTGGTCAGCTGTGGCCTCACGTCCAGCTGCTGCCAAGACCTGGCCTCTGTGCTCAGCACCAGCCCCAGCCTGGCAGAGCTCGACCTGCAGCAGAACGACCTGGGAGACCTTGGCGTGAGGCTGCTCTGCAAGGGGCTGCGGCATCCCGCCTGCCAACTCACGTTCCTGAGGTAAGGCCCTGTGGGGCCCTTCCGAGCAGACGTCAGGGAAGGGAGGGTGGTAGGGTGGCAGGGGATTGGATAAAGGAAGGAAGAGGGACTGATAAATGCATAGTCAGCCTTGGTTTCTTATCAGCTCTACCACCTACTTACACGTGCAACTCAGGCAAGACACTGTCTTCTCTGAGACTCGGTTTCTGTATCTGTGTAATGGGAGTACCATACCCACTTCATGGATTATAATCAAATAAAACGTATGTAAGAACAAGGACAGTGCTGGGAAGAAAGTTAGGCATGATCAAATGATAACTACTAGCAAGGCCGTGTGTTCTAAGGGACTCCCAGCTTCACTCCACTCCAGGGCATCACTTCATTCATTCATTTACTCATTCATTCATTCACTGCATGCCTCCTGTGTGCAAGCACTGGGCCAGGCCCTCAGCATAGGATAGTGAGCAAACAGACCCGTAGCTGAAACTGGCCACTACAACCAGAGGACTCGATCCCCGGGGGCGAGCACCTTTGTACCCCAGCCTCGCCCCACTGAGTGTATTGGCTGTCACCATCTGCCCCGTGTTAGAGCCTCCTCAAAGCTTGGCCACAGTGGTTGTCAAACCTCACCTGGCTCCGCAGGGAGCTTGTTCTCTGAGGTCCTGGAAAGGTTCCCCCTCCTTTCCTCCTGGAGCCCAGGACTTGGTTGAGAGGGGCAACTTTCTCCTGCTTGGGCTCATCCCCTCCCCAAGGGGAGAACAGCTCTGATCATGGTTGGGCGACAAATGCATGGCCCTTTACAGGTGCGGGGTCTTTTCGCCTCCCGCCTTGTCTGTACCTCCCAACAGGCAGAGCAGGCGTGATTCACCCCATGTTATACACTCAGGACACAGAAGCCCCGAGAAGGCAATTAACTATCCCAAATCTGGAGAAACCCCAGAATACAAGGGCTGTGAGAATGGAACCAGGGCTCTCTCTTTCCAGCAACACTTCCGACCTCTGGGAAGGAAACCCCAGGACCCAGACTCTAGGCGGTCACTGTGAGCCCATGGGGAGTGCTGCTGGTGACTGGCTGCAGGGATGGCCCCTGCCAGTGACAGCCCCTACCCAAGGCCAAACCTCCTTCCTGAGGTGGTCTGCATCCAACAACTGACAGATGCTGGGGTACAAAGGCCCAGTCCCTACTCCCAACTCCAGTCTGCTCTGAAGGGCCATCTCCACTTCAGAACTGCCCACAGGGTGGGCTAAGGCCTCTCCTGAGACCTCCTTGCACCCACATTCCCCTCTGCCCAACCCACCTCCCTCCTTCCCCTCACCCTGGCATGGACCCCAGAGCACTCCCTAATAAACTTCCTTACGATACTCTCCACTGAGAACCCGACCCCCAGGGAGCCCAGCCTGCGACAGATTCCTTCAGGAGGTGCAGGTCCAGGGATCTGGGCAAGCCTGAAGGGTGTGGGGAGCACAGGGGACCCCAAGAGAACCAGGCCACTTTCTGCTTGCAGGCTGGACCAGGCCCCGCAGGGAGAAGAGCTGAGGGAGCACCTGAGGGCCCTACAGGAAGAGAAGCCTCAGCTGCTCATCTCTGGCATAGGGTAAGGGGGCCCCGAAATCCCTATGGCTGGCCCAGGCCCAGGGCTGAACCAGGAGACGGGGAAACATGCTCGGGGTGAAAGAGACAGACAGAGCCAGGAAGAAACCAGGAAACCACAGCAGCCGCAGTGAATTTCATTTAGTGCAAATACAATTGAATCACCTCCCTGCTTAAACCCTTCCACTGGACAAACAAGGGGAAGGGGAAGTGGAGAAGTGAGTAGGTGAGTGAGTGAATCCTCTGGGGCCAGCACAGTGTGACACCAAATTGCCACTAGTACAGGCTCCTTCAGTGCAGAACACAGAAGGTTGGGAACAGTGGAAGTGATGCCCACTTGGGGGAGACAGAGCCAGAGAGGACGGCTTGGGAAAGAGACCACCCTCACCATCCACCGCCCCCACACACAGACACACAGATACACACACTCCCATGGTGTGAGGGACGAGTCCCTCTCCCACCCCAAGGAATCTGCTGCAGCCCCCATGTTGTCTCACTT